GGGGGGGGGGGGGAGACACTGATGGTGGGGGATGGGTGTCTGCGAGTCCTCCCCAGAACATTTTGAAATAAAATGCCATTTTCTGCATTCTGGTGTAGTTTAACAGGTTGTTAAACATCTAAGTAAACACTTGATTCAAATAACTATTTTAGAGAGCTCAGCACAACAAGAAGTAGCGCTAAGCTAGCGGCGTCCAATACAGACGCGCTAGCTAAGATGCTACAGATGTAGCGTTCTGCTTTACATTACACAACCTGATAAATGCTTTGTACAAAATCACTTTAGTGTTAACTGATCATAAAGACTACACTTATGCAACCAGAAGTTGCAACATATATCTACAGTTACAAAACACAACTAGCTTTAAGCATTAATTTTTAACCATTAAGCATACAAGGTAATTATGACAGAAAATGGAGGAGTTACTTGCAGTTACCTTTGTACTGAGGAACATGTGGTAATTCCTGTTTATAACTGCTGTATTCAGCTGCTCATCGGCCGCAGGGCTTTATCATCTTATATTTTTCCAGACTAGTGTTTGGAAATGGAATTCCACCCTCTAGTATGTTAGTGCTCTAGTATGTTAGTGTTAAGCACTTTGATAACAGTCTATCTGTTTTAAATTGTGCTCTATAAATAAATATGACTTGACTTGACTCTAAAGCAGGGCTATTCATGTAAACTGCTCAGGGGGCCACAGTTACTGAGAGCCAGCAGCTCAGGGGCCGAACATCCAGCTATTAAAGTAATTATGTAAATAAACCAAGTATTACAATGATCTGTTGCCTTTTAAATTTGCTTATCACATTGAATCATAATTGTAATAAACAGAACCTCAAACACAGAACACCCCCCCACCCCCCACCCCCCCAAAAAAAAGAAAAGAATAAATAAATAAATTATTTTTTGGGGTGTTGAGTTAAAATTTAGAGGTGCTGTTAAAATTTAGGGGTGCTTGGGCACCCCCAAAATGGGCTAAAATCGCCACTGGGCATTACTCATAGTCCTGCAGCAGCTTGCTTCTCATGGTCTGATGCATGCTCAATAATCCAGGTAGATAAATCAAGATGGAGAGGTAGATTTTTAAGTCAACATAGAAGAATCCGTTCAGATGACCTGCCTCATTATCATTTAGACTTAATCATCATGACCTTGATCCTCCTATGCACACAACTTTTCTGACATTAACATGTCATTTAATGAAAGCAACTGCAAAGAAATTAAAAAGACAAGAACTTTAAAACCAGGAGAAATAATAAAATGTCCTGATTTACAAAGAGAAAGAACTTGACTTACACAGACCGACGATGCTTGCCTCTAGGTCGGAGAAGCTCCTGATGGTACGAGACGGGTCCTGCTCTTTGTCAGCCCCCCCTCTGAGCACATATCCACTGTTCATCAGAACCATGCTCAGGTAGAGGCAGAGCCCCCCGCAGCCCAGGATCACGAGCACGCGCTTGAACGACACGGCTCTCATGATGCCTGAAGAGGAATATTTTTAAAAAGCCTTTGTGAACGAGGACGGGTCCAACGAACACTGACACATGCCGGTGTGTGGGATTGGGAGATGCTGCGCGAGAGGCCAACAGGTGTGTCTTATTACGCTGACGTCACGAAGCAGTCTCCTTTTTTTTTTTAGGAGGACGTCACGTGACTCCCCCAAGGCAGCCGCAAACAAACTAGTCGGTTTACATTTTGGTCTAGTTGTTCCTGTTCGTTTTAACTGTCGGGGGCGGGGGCTTCTGTAGCAAGAATAACTCAGTGGAAACTCATCAAACCTGACAAATGACACAAACTGAAGCTGCTCATGACTGACAGAAGTTCTCCAAGAAAACTTAAAGAGGTGAGGTATGCACTTGAAAGAAGAGGAACGAAAGTCAGCAAAGGTCAAAGGAAAAGTTTACAAGACACTGATGAGACCAGCCATGATATGGTCTGGAGTAGGAGTCTGCAACCTGCGGCTCTGGAGCCACGTGCGGCTCTTTGGATCGTCTGCTGTGGCTCTTTAATAATAATAATAATTAGGGGTTATTCATGTTCTGTACCACAGACTGTACCCAGGGGAGGCCACACCTAGTCTGTATGGTTTACCTAAAATCCACAAACAAGGTGTACCTTTAAGACCTATTGTTAGCATGATTAACTCTGTCACTTACAACGTTTCCAAATATATGGCGTCTGTACTCATCCCTATAGTTGGCAGCTCAGAACATCACATACAGAACACCATGGACTTTGTGGATAAGGTGAGGGATGTCATCATGGAGACTGATGAAACAATGGTCTCTTTTGATGTCACATCACTCTTTACGTGCATTCCTGTTGATGATGCAGTAGAGGTGGTCAGTTTAAGATTAAAATCAGACACCACTCTGAGCAGCAGGACCACACTTTCCACAGAACAACTGTGTCAACTCTTGAAACTGTGCCTGCAGTCAACCTACTTCACATATGGGGAGCAATATTATAGGCAGAAACATGGATGTGCTATGGGGTCTCCAGTTTCTCCTATTGTTGCCAACCTGTACATGGAGGAGGTAGAAAAGAGAGCCTTGATGTCCTTTTCAGGGACACCAGCAAGTCATTGGTTCAGGTATGTTGACGACACCTGGGTTAAAATCAAATCTCAGGAAGTCCAACATTTTACTGACCACATCAACTCTGTGGATAAATACATCAAGTTCACACGAGAAGATGAAAAAAATGGCAAGTTGGCTTTCTTGGACTGTGAGGTCTCAGTCTCTGATAGAGGACATTTGCAAACCGAGGTGTAATAATAATACTTTATTAATAATAATACTTTATTTATAAAGCCCTTTAAAACAACCACAGCTCCCACAAAGTGCTGTACATATAAAATCAAGAACATTTAAACACATAAAAACAGTTGTTAAAACATTAAGATCAATAAAAGTAATAAAAACAGTGCAGAGTAAATTCAGTATGTGCTAAAAGCCAGGGAGTAAAAATGTGTTTTTAAAAGAGTTTTAAAACTGGACAGTGAAGGGGCTTGTCTGATGGGAAGAGGGAGATCGTTCCACAGTCTTGGAGCAGCAACAGAAAAAGCTCTGTCCCCTCTGAGCCTCCGCTTAGACCTCGGCACCTCCAGGAGCAGCTGATCAGCTGATCTGAGGCACCGAGCAGGAGAGTATGGGTGAAGCAGCTCAGAGAGGTAGGATGGAGCAAGACCATTTAAACTTTTAAAAACAAAAAAAAGAATCTTAAAATGAACTCTAAAATGAACAGGCAGCCAGTGGAGTGAAGCAAGAGTGGGGGTGATGTGCTCCCTTTTTTGAACTCCAGTTAGAAGCCGAGCAGCAGCGTTCTGGACCAACTGGAGGCGTCTGAGGGAGGACTGGCTGACTCCAAGGTAAAGAGCGTTACAGTAATCCAGCCGAGAGGTGACGAAGGCATGGATTACTGTTTCCAGCTGCTGTTTTGTAAGGATGGTCTTTACCTTAACCAGCTGTCTGAGGTGATAAAAACTGGTCTTGACCACCGCTCCAATCTGGGACTCTAATTTAAAATCACTGTCCATTTTAAAACCCAAGTTAGAAATAGTTTTCTTTACATGTGGTGCCAGAGGGCCCAGATCAACAGGGCAAGGTTCACAAGAGCCACTAGGACCAAACACCATCACTTCTGTTTTCTTTTCATTGAAATTTAAGAAGTTTAAAGACATCCAGGCTTTGATGTCTTCAAGACACAACAGAAGTGGCCTAATTGAGGGGGCATCTTTCTTTTTAAGTGGCATATAGATCTGACTGTCGTCAGCGTAACAATGAAAAAAGATCCCATGCTTTCTAAGGATTGATCCCAATGAAAGCAGGTAAAGGGAGAAAAGCAGGGGACCTAAAATAGAGCCCTGTGGAACTCCAAAACACAGAGGAGCAGTGGAGGATTCAGACCCAGCTATGTTGACAGACATGGTTCTGTCTGCCAGATAGGACCTAAACCAGCTCAGTGCAGTACCACAAATACCCACTTGGTGCTGTAAGCGTGATATTAAAATGTTATGGTCCACGGTATCAAAGGCAGCTGTTAGGTCGAGCAGGACAAGAACCACATGTTCACCAGAATCATTAGCCATAAAAATATCATTAAAAACTCTGACTAGAGCTGATTCTGTGCTGTGGTGTTTTGAAGCCAGACTGAAAAACCTCCAGGATATTGTGCTCATCCAGAAAACATTTGACCTGTGAATATACAATTTTTTCTAAAATTTGTGTACCGCAAACCCACCCACACAGACCAGTATTTGCAGTTTGACTCCCATCACCCTTTGGAGCACAAGTTAGGAGTCATCAGGACTCTGTATCACAGAGCAGACAGCATCCCCACTAGCTCGGGAGCCAGGCAGAAGGAGAAATCCTACACAAGACAGGCTCTAGAGCAATGTGGATATCCTAACTGGGCCTTCCTGAAAGCAGAGAAGAAACCCAAACAGGACTCCAGTCAGCCAACAGGTGAAAAGGAGGAACCCAGACCCAGACCAGTGGTCATTCCGTATGTTGAGGGAGTATCAGAGAAACTGAGACGTTTATTTTCTAAACATAACGTTCCAGTGGCTTTTAAACCCCAAAATACATTACGGCAAAGACTGGTTCATCCCAAAGATCCAGTCCCCCGGCACAAACAGAGTAATGTTGTGTATGCTGTTCAGTGTCAGGAGGGCTGTGATCAGTCTTACATCGGGGAAACTAAACAGCCACTGGCCAAAAGGATGGCCCAGCACAGAAGATCAACATCATCAGGCCAGGACTCTGCGGTCTACACTCATCTCCAGGCCAGCGGTCACTCTTTCAGGGATGAAGATGTTCACATCCTGGACAGAGAGGAACGATGGTTTGAGAGAGGAGTAAAGGAGGCCATCTTTGTGAAAAGAAACCGTCCATCGTTAAACAGGGGTGGAGGCCTAAGTGTTCAATTGTCCCCCTCTTACAATGTTGTGATTGCTAGTATCACTCAGCCCTCTGGGAACAGTAAACAGCCATCAGTGTGCTAATGATCCATTGTTAGGCTGATGGTCCTTCTTGAGCATGTGATCAGCTGGTTTTGGTTGTCAGCAGCAAACTGGTTGATCCACTCTGAGAAGGTGTTATTTAAGAGACTGAGCTGAATACAGCACCTCAGACTGAGGAAGTCTCTTGGATGAGAGACGAAACGTTTCTACATTTTTTTGTTGCTTTGTTTTGTTTTTTTTAATGTCCAGAGGACCAGATTTAACTTTTTTAGATGTTTCTACCTGGATTATTGAGCATGCATCAGAATAAAAACAGTGCAGAGCAAATTCAGTGTGTGCTAAAAGGCAGGGAGTAAACATGTTTTTTTAAAAGAGTTTTAAAACTGGACAGTGAAGGGGCTTGTCTGATGGGAAGAGGGAGATTGTTCCACAGTCTTGGAGCAACAACTCTGTCCCCTCTGAGCCTCTGTTTGTACCTCGGCACCTCCAGGAGCAGCTGATCAGCTGATCTGAGGCACCGAGCAGGAGTGTATGGGTGAAGCAGCTCAGAGAGGTAGGATGAGGCAAGACCATTTGACCAAAACTGACATAAAACTGAATTTTATTGGTTGTTATAACAACAAAAAACGGACTAGTTCAAACAGTTTTCCTGTCATTTCATTTCGAATACTGGCGCGAGTACAAGAACATACTTTAACGTGATGCTTTATTTCTTTATACAAAGAACTGTCTGCATAGTTTATAGATTTTTTTATTAAAAAATATGGTAAATTTGATTTCCCCCCTTCATTACAAGAATCTGACTTTTTGCTTTAATAAATGTTAAACATCAAAAATCAATAGATATTTTTTGCTTTATAAAGTCACCCCCACCGGCCACAAAAGCCTCCTCCAGCAAACCTAAAGTGGCTCACGGGCCACCAGTTGATAACAGTTGTAGCATGTTGTTGCAGCTCCAGACGTGTTTAATGTAGTGAACAAAGGTGTAAAAATGTCTTTTTTGATTGTAAAAGTTGCAGACCCCTGGTCTGGAGACAGTGGCACTGACAAAAAGACAGGAGAAAGAACTGGAAGTAGCAGAAATGAAGATGTCGAGGTTCTCCTTAGGAGTGACAAGGATGGATAAGATTAGGAATGAGATCATTAGTGGTACAGCACAGGTTGAACAACTGGGAGATAAAGTTAGAGAGGCCAGACTGAGATAGTTTGGACATGTCCAGAGGAGGGACAGTGGGTATATTGGTAGAAGGATGTTAGAAATGCAGCTGCCAGGAAAAAAACAAAGAGAAGATATGGAGTTAGAGAGAACATGGAGGTAGTTGGAGTGAGGACAGAGGACAGAGTGAGATGGAGGAGGATGACTCGATGTGGTGACCCCTGAAGAGGGAAAAGCCGAAAGAAGAAGAAGTTGTCAATTTACTTTTAATATTAAGGGTTTGAATGTACTTACTGCGTAGTCATGAAGACCAATCAAAACAAAAATCATAACGTGATGAACAAAAGACCAATTTGTC